CTCCACGCCACCGATGACCGCCCCTTTGTCACCGACTGCCGTAGGTCACAGAAGCAGCAACGGGTTGCCGAAGTTAAGGGGTCGCAGCGGATTGGAACAGAATCACCAGCGCAAACAGCTGACTGATGCACTCCAAGGAACAGAGTCGTTGAGAAGCTCACAGTCGCTAAGCTGACAGTAAATTGTCCTCTTTCATTGAACCCAAAGGTTTGTCACCGTGTTTGAAGCGGCCGTCCAGTCTTCATACTCACTTCAGCTTCATTAATATTCCTTTTAATATTATCCCCCGTCTGCCAAGTGATCACTTTGCTTTAGAGTTTCCAACCGCGCATTTCTCATGTGCCCCATTCGTGCTACACGCCCCGCCGCCCTCACCTTAAGACTTTATTAGTGGCGCGTAAAACCAAGCGTAAGGCGACGTGCGGTGCCAATGCACGGGCCGTGGCCAACTTTAAATCAGCTCACACGGAGAAAGCGTGCGCTGAGATATTTGTCTTTTTGGCTCAAAGTGTTTGCCGTCAATGAAAGCTCGCACGGGCTAATAAAGTAAGAACACTTCATCTGTTGACTTCAAAGCGATTGCTTTGGCCCTTACTCTCTTTTCCATTGGCCAACTTCCTTTGTCGCCAGAGCTCAGTCGATGTCTGGCTGCGTGTGTGTTTTTTCTCTGTTTTTCAGTCACAGCAGCCGCCCCCTCCCCCAACGCAATAGTTTATGTGGGCACAATCGATCGCTTGTATCGACTTCGTCGTCTGTTTACGGTTCATCAACGTTTTTACATCTCGGTCCGTCCTCTGAAGCAAATCACTCAGCCGCTGTCATTTATCTACGTCGGTGGTTACCCGCGCCATGGGAACGGCGTAAACACCTGACCCCGTCGGACATCAGCCAGCCACTCTTTCTGTACGCCCTCGCGGGTCAGATGCGACCAGTAAATAAATTATAACTTTGGATTTGTTGCCGTAAAACACGTGCTTCATCCCTCCTCACTTGAACAGCCTGTCACTTTGTTCAGTGTTGGTACCACTGCATAACAGGATCATCGCCGGTCACTTCCGGCGTTTGAATCCCTCACCTGTAAAGTCGCCGGAGTAGCAACGTCGCTCTTTTCGCAGTGCGTGAATGTTCCTTTGTCTTCTACGGGAACTTACAAACGTCGTCTTCTTAGTCTATTCGGAAAAGTTTTACCATAACTTTGGGCAATGCAGTCCTAAATCTTCTTTACTGCCGGAAAGTCACACTTGGTATGTCCTAGGACCTGCCAATCCACGGCCCGTTAAAAAGTCTAGTTTGGCCTGCGGCGTTGTGGGGTAAAGCAGTATTATTCATTTATTTAGTGTTCTGTCTGACGACATCCTTTTCTCGGACTGGGACCTGTTCATATACGTTCTTGGCAGATGATCCAGAAGTGGTTTGCCATTGCCTTCTTCTGTGTGTGAATGGAGTAATTGTTGGGATGCCACGGAGGAAAACTCCGTGTTGCCTAGACCACGGCCTTGTCCAACACAAGTTATAAATTCGGGCACCGCCAGGAATCGAACCCGAGACCCCAGGATTACAAAAGCAGTGGCGGAGGTTAATGTGTTCCAGGGTATGGAGTGTTATCCGTCACTAAACCAGGGAAGCGAGGTTTTTTATTTTTCGTTTTGCAAAGTGTTAGTCAGGATCGGTTAACAAATGCAATCAAGAACAACTTCAATGCAGACGCGTATTAATACCAACGAAAACGACTCAGTGTCGATTTGCTAGCGTCGCGTCGCGTTCCGAGGCTCCGAATTATTGTGTCAGGGTCAGATTAGGTTAGGTTAGGTTGGGTTGGACTAGGTTACGTTAAGTAAGGTTAGGTTAGGTGTAATGTAAGATAACTAAATGATGCCTGCGGAGAAACGTGACTCGGCCGTCTTTAAATCCCATGCAAATCCATCATGGCGGCTGCTACAGAGCTAAGGCACTTTGATTCGCGCAGTTGATAACTTTATTATCAGCTGATTTACGAAGATCGCGTTTGTGCGTCGTATTCCAATACGCATTGCGCCTCTGTCTTGTTTCGACGGGCTCCGGGCTCCTGGTGGTTCACGCGTGTCGCGTTACGTGTCGTGCAGTGAAGTGTATTGGAGCCTTACCTCCATAAAACCGTTGAACACTGTACCAATCAAATGAGTCTGAGGAACTTGACGCCAGAATGTTTGTTGACATATAACAAGGGCAGATCGATACTTCTTTACTACTTGACTTCATTGGACGCGTTGGTTTGTTGTGGTCCGCCACTCTTCGTCGAATCTCATGAAATAAAAAAACAACATTTGAGGAGCATAAAACAAAATCTAAGCGACTAGCGTGAAGTTTTTCCTCCATAAATTGTGTGTCATTTTATGTCGCCAGTGTCACCTTCGAAACGCGAAATCTTTCTTAAATCTGTATCGTCTACGGAGTGGCCACCTTCTTTGTAGTTTGTAGATTTTTGCCTAATAACTACGCTTTTTAGCGGCTCAGTCAGTGTAGTGAGTAGCTACGGGCTGGACGACCGGGGTTCGATCCCCGACGGGGGCAGAGGACTTTTCCTCTAGCCTCTGTGTTTAGACAGGCTCTGGGGCCCACCCCACCCCTGTCCAATGGGTACCGGGGTCCTTTCCCTGGGCGTAATGCTGACCACTCACCCCATCTAGTTCCGAGATCAGAAACGAATAGGAGCTATAACTTTACTCCCCCCAAGCGCCTACGTGGGGTGTAGTGGGCCAGCTTTGCTTTTTTACATTACCGACTATGTAGAGTCGAATGAGAGAATGATGGTGAATTGGAAAGGGTGTGTAAGGAAGCGGTCGTGGTCTAAATTAAGGTACTGTCCTGGCATTTGCCTTGAAGGACTGAGGAAAACCACGAAGAAATCCCGTCAGGATTGCCGGTCTTCGGGCCGAGATTTGTGCCCGGGACCTCCCGAATACGAAGCGGGAGTGCTAACCACTCAACCACGACGTTCGGTGGTGAAGACGCCATTTCTGGTTTGTGCTGCTAGGAATTTCCTGGATTCGTATCTCGGGCCGAAGATCGGATGTCCTGACGGAGACTTTTCGTGGTTTCTGTCAGTCCCTCCAGCCGAATGTCTAGATAGTGTATTAATTTAGGCCACGGCCGCTTCCTTCCACACCCTTTCCTAACTCATCAGTCTTTCTGTCATTTCCACGCTCTGTTGTATGACGTACAACTACGACGTCTTCAAATGAATCGTAAACAAATAAACAGAAAACGTGCAGAGACGCTCGCGATTTCGGGGTGAGGGGCCCACGATCTGATGTCCTGGTTAACGCAGGAAAAGTAGTGGTACGTGCGCATTCCTTAATTCCCTGTTCATTCGTAAGAAAGGACGAAAGTAGAGTTGTCAGTGCTGCCAACTTGGCTTGCGAAGTCCATGCCGGGTTTCGTATCAGTATATCCTCAGGCTCTCCTGTCAAGGACAGTGCATGCCATGTTTGTAATTCATAATGTTTTGCGGTAATTTATAATGTATTTGTGGTAGAACTGGATCCACTGATTATGGCCGCTGACCTTGTAGGGAGTGCCCAGTATGCGGACCAATCAATGAAGGAAGGAGTTTCGGTCGGTCGGTCGGTCAGTACAGTCTCTGTCAGTGCAGAAGTGTAAAAGCCTGATATTGTTCCCTTGTGACTGTGCTGTGTTAACAACATGCCACCACGCTGGAATCTCCTTTCTGGTCATTGACAACGCCTCGTAACACAACACTCGGAAGGACGAAATGAAAGCCTGGCTATTGGAAAGAAACATCCCGTTTTGTGACGTGTTCAAAGCTCAACTGTACGATTTAATCAAATTAAATAAGTCACAGCACAAATATTATGTGATTGGGCACGCGTGACCACTAAGCCAAGTTTCGGCATGCTTACGTCATGTTACGAACGACTCGGTTAATTTTTGGTACTGTGCAATACGTTTGATGAAGTTACGACAGGTTAGGTTAGGTTAAATTAGGTATGTTTAGTGGATTTTGTTAGATTAGGAAAATTTTTGAAAACATTTGTTACGTTTCGACACTTATGGCCACAGTTCGTCACGCTGTTAGAGTACGTCACGCTTTGGCACGCTTGGTCACGTTTGTTCACGCTTTGTAAATTTTCGTCACGTTTCGACACATATGATCCCTTGTCACGAGGTCAAAGCAGGTCACGCCTGGTCACGCTTTGTCACGTATATTACAGTTCCAGATTAGGGGAAATAAGACGGCTTTGTGATTTTTGCACCCCTGTATATGGACACCCTGTATAGTGCAGACGTTGTGGTCGCGTTGCAGACCTTCTGCGTGGTGTCGAAGCGGTTCCGCAAGAACTACATCCACCGCTTCACCGCCAGCAAGTCGTTCTTCGTGTTTTCGCCGTGGAACGCCGTACGTCGTACCTGCATTTTCCTGTCGACGAACCAGTACTTCGACTACGTGGTCATGACCACCATCCTGCTCAACTGCGTCTTCCTGGGCATGACGGACACCGTGGAGGAGGCCGAGTGAGTACCAGCCACGCGCTGCTGACAGTTGCCTGTCTGGTTGCACCCAGCACGGATTTCCGCTGGTCACGCGGTCTATCATTACAAATCAGCTGGGAAGAAGATGTCACGTGGGATGTCTAGGCGTAGATCTCAGGATAATATTAAAAAGCATCTTAAATAACTACAGTCTTAATTAGTGGATTGGACTCGTGTGGTTCTGAATGGGCGCCAGGGACGAGCTTTTGTGGAAGCGGTAAGGAACCGTCAGATTCTATTAAATGGATGGAATTTCTGAACCAGCTGAGCAACTGTCAGGTGTAGGTAATGAGTTATGCGGGGTCGTTCTGAAATGATAGTGGCGTAATCCGACGTTTCGGAGATTGGAATTCAATACTTATCCCGATAGTCTACCATTTTGTTTTAAATATTTAATTGCATTCATAAAACAAAATACAAACCTTGTTTTTACTTTTCGGTGTTAAACATGTGATTAGCCGAGCAATGAAATTAATTTGTACGGACAAGAAATATCGCGTTCCGTTTGTGTTTTGTTTGCAGGTATATGTTCCTCGCCATCTATACGGCAGAGATGATAATCAAGTCGATTGCCAAGGGCTTCATTCTGAACAAGTACACGTACCTGAGGAATCCCTGGAACTGGCTTGACTTCGTCGTAATCACGTCAGGGTACGCCACCATCGGCATGGACGTCGGCAACTTGGCAGGCCTGCGGACCTTCCGCGTGCTGCGAGCCCTTAAGACTGTTTCCATCATGCCAGGTATGACAGACAGACATTTAATGGACGCGGAAGGAAGCGGTCGTGGCCTACTTTAATTCCATGTGGTAATATTTGCCTGGAGGGACTGAGAAAAACTACGGAGAGCCTCAGTCAGGGGAGGAGGCCTCCTGGCCGATGATTGAACGGGAATGCGAAGGAAATTGCCAGTCGCTTGTTTCGCCGGTCTGCATAAAGAGACCCGATTCCGAACCAAAATATTGTGTGGATTTCGTGTTTCCCACTTTTGATGCATACCGTTCTATCTGAGAACAGTTTATACGTTTTTAATTGAGTGAGACACCGGTATATTTTATACTCGACGTTTCGGGAGCTGGCCGTCGTGCTCCCGTCATAAGATGATTGGCCGTTGTTACTTTTTAATTTAATTTAAATGGCGAAATAAGGAATTAAACCCGGTACATTTTGAATACTGGCTTAGTATTCAAAAGGTATTGAGTTCGATTCCTGTAATATGTAGTGCCATATATATTTGCAATGTAATAAATCACGCGCGACACCGTTACTCCCGAAACGTCGCGTGTGTGCTCAGCGCGACGTAACGTCCGTGCCTGTCCCCGCAGGCCTCAAGACCATCATCAACGCGCTGCTCCACTCGTTCAGGCAGTTGGCCGAAGTGATGACGCTCACCATCTTCTGCCTCATGGTCTTCGCCCTTTTCGCCCTCCAGGTATACATGGGCGAGCTGAGAAACAAGTGCGTGAGGCGACCGCTCGACCGCAACGCCACGCAGCTCGAGTGGGCGCAGTGAGTATAATATTAAAATGGATCTTGAAGGCGGAAGATTTGATTCAGCTTGGTCAGAATGGGAGTCTGTGATGTCCTTGTTGCAGGTGGGTGCGTGACGAGGACAACTGGCTGAAGACCGAGGGGGCGGAGGAACCGGTGATTTGTGGCAATGTCACGGGGGCAAGGTCAGTGTGACAGCTCATCTGACAGAATGCGTCCAGTGAGTGTCTGTGAACCGAATTAATTAAATGGACCGCCTGTGGAATGATTCTGACGGGCAGGGAGAGCCAACGCAAAGTGCCCTGAGCGCCTGTATGTAGAGCACACACAACACACCAGTGCTGGAGAAGTTGCCGCTATCGATGGCGTTCCTTGTTTCTCGAAAGAAAGGAAATGAATTTATCCTGAACGAATGAGTGTGTACTTCCGACTAAAGTTAAAATCTGTGAGTCTGATTAACATTTGTCTTGGTATCACGAACATTATTTGACTTACACATTTCAGGCACTGCCCGACGGAGTTCTTCTGCCTGCAGGTGGGCGAGAATCCGAACCACGGCTACACCAACTTCGATAACTTCATGTGGTCCATGCTGACAACGTTCCAGCTCATCACCCTCGACTATTGGGAGAACGTGTACAACATGGTGAGTCCGGCCGCGTGGCGAACGCTACTGGGGGCAGTGGAGGTTTATTTAACGACGCTTTTCGACTGAAGAAGTCATATAACTCCATAAAACATGGGAGCATGATCGTGATTGTTAATTTGGAAGCGGGCATCTGTCTGAAAACATCCGGCAATCGCTCGAGGTCTTCGCCCTCGCGTTTACCGTTCTCTCTGTGTGTTGCAGGTGCTGTCATCTTGCGGCCCAATCAGCGTAGTTTTTTTTACGGTCGTCGTGTTTTTTGGTTCCTTTTACTTAATCAACCTGATGTTGGCTGTGGTAGCCTTAAGCTACGAAGAAGAGGCAGAGATCACCCAGGAGGTGAGAAATGCTACACAGGCCTGCAAACTTGACAATCTCATAGTTCCTTCAGTGTTATAGCGCGTGTTGTTAAACATGGAGTTCACAGAATGTCGTTGAAATATCATAATTATAAACAGACAATTAATTATATTTTAAAATTTGGTTAGTAAAAGAACGAATATCAAAAGGCAGGGGGTGATTTGGATTTTTTATTCGCTGTTAATTCCGTTCTGTAGAGTATTAATGTTCTTTCTATTGACAGACACTTATATTATTCCTTATGTTTTATATTAACCTTCAAGTTAATTCGGTATTGAATGGCACCTTAAATTTATTTTAATATATTGTACATTTAATTTATTTGAGGCTGCAGCCGACTCTCCTGTTCTCCAGTAATAATGTTTATTATCATCGTCAACATCATTGGGCGCCCTCGGTGGTCTAGTGATTAGCGTCACTGCACCCAAGGTTCGCGTGTTCAAACCCGGCCGAGGTCGATGGATTTTTAAGGGTGATAAAACTTCCTTCGGAGAGGAAGTAGATTTACGGCATGTAAAAGAGCCCTGAAAGAGTTCAGCGGCCATGTTGCTCACCCACGTCTCTCCTGATTCTCTGCTAGATGGCTCTAGTAGACAAAAATCAGCATCGAGTGGAAATTGTGCCGAGGCAGTTTGTCAAATCCTTGTAGTTGATGACGAGGGTCGCTGTCGGCGTAGGCGAGGCGTGAGCAGACCGATTCCCTGCACCTGGTGACGTGTTTCAGGAACGGAGGAAGGACCTCACGGACCACAGAGACGACTCCACATTCAGCTTCGACCCATCGACGATCAACGTCAAACAGCTGGACAGAAACAAACGCAAGAGGGTCGACTCCAGGAAGGGGGTGTTGCTGGCGTCTTACAGCAGGAAGAAGACTCGACGGCGGAAACGTGGGCGGGGCGGAGGGGACAACAACAGCAACGGGGGGCAGCAGGGGTGTAGCAGGTCACTCACGCCGAGTCCCCGGCACAGCAGTGGTGCCGCCTGTCACGAACAGCGGCCACAGTCCCTGACCCTCATGCCTCCGCCCCCATCAAAGGGCCCAGCAACTCCCCAGCCACTCGCCGCCGACACTCTCCGCCCAGCAGATGCTTTGGGTGAGTACCAGAGAACGCGACTCAAGGCGACAGTCGGGCGTTGCCGTCGAAGGCGCTGCATTAATTGATTCTCGACATTGCCAGGACCTCCGCACCGAGGGCAGCTGTTGGCCAGCCGTCACCCCAGCGGAAATGGTGACAGCAATAACCGGGAGTCCTCGCTCGATGACTCTGGAGTGGTGGACGATCACGAGGAGGGAGACGTGACCTCGGAAGATGTAGCTCAGATCCCAAATGTGGTTCAAGTGAGTTCTGCTTGGTCTGAAGTGTGTTCTTTCGTAAGTGCGCGTGTGTTTTTAGTGCACTCCAGACCAGGAGTCGGAAAAGATGCAATTGAAAATCTTGTTCTCATTACTTCCGCGTTCCTTTAGTGAGTTTTGCGTTTCTAGTGCTTATTGAACGTTCCTTACGACCACACGCGTTACTTTATAAAAAAATTGTGCTTTTAACACGTATATTGAGTTTCCTGCACATTTGATTGAGTAACAAACAGAGCCAATAACTTAAATTCTCGAATCCATCTGCGAAATCATTTTGGTTTCATAAAATTAAAGGAAATTGCAGGTGGAAATAAATCACTGAATTGTAGAATTACTAACTTCACTGTACATTTATGTAATCTAAGGAGTAAAATATGTGAAAAGTAAATAAAATAAGGTTTTAGAACATTGTACTTGTAGTTGTGTTAAATACAGATTCCGGTTGTCAACTCCGCAAGGATCTGGTAATTTAGGAGAAGCCGAATCCGGTGTTTTCTGCCTCACCCAGTGCCTGCAACTGTGCCCCATGCTTCTGTTACAGAGGGTGGAGCCCGTCACAGTTGCCTTAAGCTCGAAAGAGATCCGCATCATCAAGTGCAATGGGGTCAGTCCGGGCGAAGGAACGCAGAAACACGTGTACACGCTTCCTGCCGACTGTCTCTCGCACATCGTTGTGCTGGGTACGCAAGTTCGTATAACAACACAATTTATGTTAAACTGGTTCTTTTATAGGATCTAATAGGATTAGAGAAAGTGGAGTTTTACCTCCATTCTGTCACACGTGAGCAGAGAGACATCTGTGACAAGGATGTGGCACCTCACAGCGAGAACTGCGTGATTTGTGGAGACATCTGGTGGTGTTGGGAGAGCAGAGTCAATGAAATTGTAATAGGTCAGACATGCAGCTTGAATCAGGACATAAAAAATGCATACAGAGATTTGGATTGGAAATCTCCACTTGGAAGACCTAGAGGAAGATGTAGTTTTGTAAGATATGAAGCTTTCACGAGGACGAAGATTTTCTTCATTGCGCCACTTACGCGGATGGTAGCCCGAGAAGGATTTAGTTTGATGGTTGTGTGATGTGTGCGTGTAGTCGGTAGTTGAGTTTCCTGTTTCAGATGACCTGCCAGACAGGAACTGTGAGAAGTGCACTCAGTGCTGCGTGGACTACGACGGGTGGTTGAGGTTCCAGAGCGGCCTGTACAAGGTGGTGCGTGACCCACTGTTTGATCTGCTCATCACTCTGTGCATCATCCTGAACACAATGTTCCTGGCGATGGAACACCACGGTATGAGTGAGTCAGTACGACAGGCTCTGGACATAGGCAATAAAGTAAGAGCCACATTAAACTTGTACGACACTCAGCATGGCTCCATGTAGATGTCATTCTTTTGCTTCACTCTGCAGTGTCATTATTCTAGAACTGACAGTGATCCCTTAAGTTCAGCAGCCACACATTTCACCCGTAGACCTAGAGCTAGCCGCAGTCTCCCCGTTTGCATCTATGACTTGTTCGGTGACACCCCCAAAATGAAATGTGCCCGTGACAAAATCCAGCACCTGTCATCATTTTGATCCTTTAGTCCTGCGCCCTTGAAGGGATTTCCGAGTTGCAAGCAGCCACGAGATACATTTCACTGTTTCTGGTGAAGGGATGAGCCCAATTACAGCTTCGTTTGGTCTCAACTCTGGTAGTGACCTGTGCCGTTTAATGTATTTAAACATTTGCCTCTGTCTGTACATTCTGATGACGCTGTGATTGAACGTAGACCCTCGTGGATGTGAAATCCTTTGATTCATGAAGCTAATGATATACCTCATGTGCTGACCAAGGTATCATCCAACCATTGCATGAGTATAATAATGGTCTATCAACTGCACATGTTATGTAGTAGTAATTGATCGATAGCGGAAATAATCGTGGGGTACGGTTGGTACTGCTACAGTATGACACTGTGCTGTTAAATTCTGAGATTAATTTCAGTATCTTAATTCTGTTATTATTTTAAACTACTCTAAGTTATGCGTTTGTCGAGAATACTAGCTTTATTTTTCCAAACTTTTTTTTATAAAATTGGTGTTTTACAAAGTAACACTGTCAGAAACAGATGGTTACTGCTTTAAATTCAAGTGATACAACATAAATAAATATAAATTTTGACCACTCTAGTTGATGCTGTTTGCTGAAATAACCTGTAACTGGCTTCATCACTGACTGGTGATATGTTCTTTCACTGGTTGGTGATTGCCATATAAAAATAGAAAATATTTTTAATTTTGTTTTGTTTTGTTTTTCTTTAAAATCTATTCAATTTCAGGCCTGTGAAGTAGCAAAATAATAGTTGAATAGCAGCGTATTAGGAACCATCTGTATCCTGATGATGCCTTTTAGGCTACGTTTGTTCTTCGTTGATTTAGTTCACATTTCACTGCTCCCTTTAATGCATTCTGTGAATCTCGTCATGCAACTTGATACATGAAACTTTATTTCTGAAATAAATGACGCAGAAATTGCCAAACTGACCTAAGTTATAAACAACAGCGCGCACACACACACACACACACAAATACAATGTTATAATTGTTCCATCAGCACTTTCCCACATTTGTTTCTAATATTCTATGTTGCACACATTTTTAAATTTTACGTATCCATCATTAGTGCATGCCATCCCATACATTAGACAGTTTCTAAGAAGAAATGTTAGTATTTAAGAAATTACTAACATAGTTTAAATCAAAAGCTAGGAAGAATGTGAATGTGACACGCTCGTGTTTGTTGTAGGTGTTCACATCAATCTTCACATTGGAGTGCTTCCTTAAAATTCTGGCACTCAGCAAAGAGTATTTTGCTTGTGGCTGGAATATTTTTGATCTTATTATTGTGTCTGCAAGTTTGTTGGACCTGTCTTTTGAGCTAATGGATAGCCTGGTGGTTCTCCGTTGTTTGCGTCTGGTAAGTACGAACTTGTCAATCTGTTGTTAATATTTGATGTCAGCATTTCTGTGTCTGTGACATTCAAATCTGTAAATATATGATGTCTAAGATGCGTGATCTGAGCATGCGAGAAGTAAGAAGTACAGATTTAATTTGTGTTACCTAGTGCATAAAATATGTTAAATGAGAACCATGAAATATGTTTATAATCATTAAAATAATTAAATTTCTTTGTAATTTAACAGTGCCCTCCATGTTTATCAAGATATCCATATTTAGTGTAGTGAATAAATAAATTTGTCCCTGCTTCATGTTCTGAGTGAAGTTTTTAGGTATTTGGTATCCAACAATCTTCTGTCACATCATCGTGCCTGTGCACGTGTAGACAAGTGTGTGCTATTGTAGTGTCTCGATTTAATGATCCCTCGCCCCACTTGCGTATGATGTAGCAGGACCTAGCTCAAACAGAAAAATGTAGTGCCATTGTCAGATTTTCACGTGAACTCCAAACTTGGAAGCTTGGAATTGCTGTCAGAGCACATTCCAGTAAAACAGTGGTGGAAACATTCATCACTTGATTCACTATAAAACAGAGCAACTGGGAGTGAATCTGGCACACACGTGGCTGTTGGCCAGTGCTGTTTCGAGGTAGACGTCACTGAACATTGATTGGAGGGATTATCAGCTCATGATGTTGTCAGTATAGGGTGCCTCCTTGGCAAATGGAAGTGACAGATTTTCTGAGTCAGTTAGTAAATTTGTACAAGAAAATGTCATCTTTATGTCTGTCTATTTAAGGGTTTGGTCTATAAAATCAGTTGCTTGTCTGATCACATGTTGTTGCGTTCCAGTTGCGGGTTCTGAAGTTGGCTCGGTCCTGGACTACAATGAAGGTTCTACTCAGCATCATTATTTCCACAATTGGCGCACTTGGAAACCTCACTTTTGTACTTGTTATTGTCATCTACATCTTCGCCGTGATTGGAATGCAACTTTTTTCTAAGGACTACACTGCAGAGACATTCTATCCTGATCCGATTCCAAGGTAACGTGACATTCCAAGTTCACGCTTTGCATATGGTCTTGCCCTGCAGTGAACGCTAAAACATCAATTTTGTCTTGCAGATGGAATTTCAATGATTTCTTCCATTCCTTTATGATGGTGTTTCGGATATTGTGCGGTGAGTGGATTGAGCCACTGTGGGATTGTATGAGAGCTGAAAAGAATGCGGTAAGCATGCGCTAATGTCTGCAGATTCGGGTCTTCAGCTGTGTAGTAAAACATTCTTTTGTGAAACAGAAATGTGACTTTGTGAATGGGTGAATGGTAATTATACACATGCTCATGTGATCAGGCAATAAGTCGTATAAGGACAAATGTTGTCGTTCAGTTGTACTGCTCCCCCCAGATTACATGCATGTGTACTTAATTGACGATTTTCAACTCTAGGTAAAGAGTATGAACTTGCAAGAATGCTTAAATATGTTACAATAAGTATTGAATCAACTGAGAAGTTTTTATACAAAAGTTATAGCCGCTGATGATTCCAATAATTTGTTAACATTTCTTCCTACATTTCTCTTGAGAAAATGGCCCTGAAATGTTGAAGTTGGCTGACTGCATGTATGCATGACGAAACACAGTCTCATTGTGTTTCGTGTTTAAATGTCATGTGAATGTCGTATCAGCAATTCCGGCCGACTGACCGGCTTTGCTCTGTGTGTCGTACTGATGTGATCAAGCTGATGTCTCCACAGGGTGCTGAAACATGTTTTGCGATCTTCCTGCCAGCTTTGGTTATGGGGAATTTCATGGTCCTGAACCTCTTCTTGGCCTTGTTGCTCAACAGCTTCAATTCTGAGGAGCTGAAATCAAAGAAAGAGGTAAGAGAACTGGGACTGCAGTGTGTCCCCTTCCAGCAGCTGGGGTGAGTACAGTTGTGGTAAGGGAAACACAAACCAAGTTATTTCACATTAAGAGTGTTGCAGTTGTTGTAGGGAACATTTCATTCTTGCTTTCTTTAAGGAAATAAATACTGACTTTTCTAATTTCAAATTGATACAGGATACAATGAACAGAGAATACAGTATACGATAATTCCAGAATGTTTCATCCACATTTTTTGGTCTTTGTGTCATTTGTTTGGCCTTCTTTGTCTACAGACATATTGACAACTTTTTACTTCCACAAGCACACGTCTGTTTTGCCTTGTGCTCAATTATGTTTTTGTCTGCAGATATTTCATCAGATATATTTCTTTATATCCATTATACTTACTTTATACACAGATTGTTTGTATTTTGAGGTTGTGGACTGGAATATATCTCACAATATTAACAGGAAAGAAATGAATAATTGTTAACTACTGTAATAATGTCTATGATACAATAGAACTACATTTGTTACTATAGAAACTGTAATTTTTTAAATTATAAAGCTGACCCTGAAAAGATTAAAATTGTGACATGTGTATTAACATAGATACCAATGAACTGTACCCCTGTACAGGACATGAAAATATGTAAGTATGTACAGAATCATTCTTCCTCTTCATGTTTTCTGTTTCACATTGAGACGCCGTGCTGTAACTCCGTGGTTAAAGCATTGCTATCTCACTGTGAGGGAGAAGGAATTCATCTGCAGTAGCAAAGCAGTAAATAAAATTCAGGTGTTGAAATAAAACCTATAGCAATTCTAAACTTATACATATTCTTGGATATTTTTTATTTTCTGTTGGCTAAAATCCAAGATGATTTAGAAGCTAACCCCGCTTCTGCTGGGTCCAGTAGATGGAGATATTCTCAATTCAGACTGGACATGAAGAATTCTGATACGTCTCAAGCTGCTTCTGATTTTCTAGCCAGTTGATGATGATGATGATGCAGAAGTTGCTGAATATGTGGCTCAGCTGCAGCGGCACATGGAGTCCGCAGTCGCACTGTGGCACAAGTGCTGGTGTCGGCAGTCCAGAATATCAGTCGCGCCCCCTCCACCAATTCCTTTGTTCCAGCGTTGTCAATTCCCCCCCCCACACCTTTCTGATGCTCCCACCCATGGCCAGGTCCCAGAAGACACCGGCACACCCCTCGTACTGCACTGTCTCTGCGAGGTACAGGGTTCTCGACAGTTTAGCTTGACACGCGTGCCACTAACAGTTTGATGTGCGTCCCAGTAATAAAGGACATGCTGCTAGACCCTGAGAGTGTGATGGTAGCAACAGGCCAGTCGTACTGCATAGTGTCCGTGTGCCTACTTGCATGCAGTTTTTCCACAGTCAGCTTTTGAGCAACCGCTGCAACTAACAATTAACATCATTAACAGTTTACATTGAAATTTAATTTTGAAATTTCCCTGAGTTGATTTCTCACATAGAGAAAAGAGTGACGAGTAACATATTTAGACCGAGGGAGAAGACCACTTGTGAGACCTAGGCATGGGATGCTAATATTAAAATGGGTCTTAAATAGTTATGATTTTGTGGGCTTCGGTCATCTCTCTCTGAGTATGGACCAGCGTGAATATTATAATTAACTTTCGTTTATAAAAGGTGAAGAATCTGTTGGCTAGCTGAGTGAATTTATTCCTCATGAAGCACTTTGCTCCATGTAGAAAGGTAATTTAATGAGTCAGTGGTATATAACCATCTCTGTCTTGTAGTTTTCAAGTGAGATGAGAAAGAACATTTTACAATGAGTTAAATTTTCGCTTTATTATGGAATTAATTTGCTTTCAAGTACATAAGCATTTTTTACTCTCTGGCATAGGTCTGTGACCTCATAAAGCCTGATTCTGTGTTGCAGAACGAGTAATTTTAGTGTGTCCAAATGTCCAAATGCACATCCTGTGTGAATGTCCGTAACACCTTTCTCATGTCTCCCAGGAAGTGGGGGAAGAGTCAAAGCTGGCACGTAGTTTTGAACGGCTACGTTCCATTGTGAGGAAGAAGCGTCAAGGCAGAGAGAAGACGGAAAATGAGCAGAACATGCGGTTAGAAGAAATGGTTCGGGAAGTGATGACGCGGCACGCAGCGAGGGAGTGTTATAATGCTTCTAATATTTGTGAAACAGTGATTGGACAAACAGTTGATGACAAACATCACACGGCATTGGGTCAGGAGACAGAGAACCTGCAATATTCACAACAGGCAGAGGGTGTGGGTTA